ACCAAATTTTTTTTTTTTTTTTTTTTTTTTTTTTTTTTTACAGAACCAGGGATTAAACGCAGGCCCTTGCACTTATTCTACTGAGGCAAGCCAGGCAAGCACTTATTCTACTGAGCTATCTCCCCAGCCCCCTCAAAAAAATTTTTTAAGGGCTGAGGATGTAGCACAGGTGAAAGCCCTAGGTTCAGTCCCCAGTACGGGGGCAGCATGGGAACATATATGATGACTAAATAATTTTCTACAAAGGCACTAAAGTGACTCAATGAGGAAAGAGAAATCTTTCCACAAATAGTAATGGAATAGCCCAGGAAAGAAAAATTAACTGTGCCCCCAACTCAAATAATACACAGGAATTAACTTGAGATGGATAATAGACCTAAATATAAAATTGTGAGACTCTGAGAAGAAAACATAAGATATTAATATTTTTTCCCCTTTTTACAACGGGGTCAGTCAGATACAATACCTTTGTCATAGTAGTATGGTGGGTTAAGGGATTACTTCAAAATATTTAAAATAATTAACATGTATACATTTCTTTTTTTTTTAATTATTTATTTATTTATTTTGTGTGTGTGTGTGTGTGTGTGTGTGACCAGCTCAGCCCACCAGGGGGCGGGGCTGGCTGGCATGTGGTGCTGGGGGATTGAACCGTGGTCCCTGTGCTTTGCTAAGCTTGTTCTAAGTAGGTGCTTTAGACCACTGAGCCATCTCACCAGCCCCAACATGTATACATTTCAACACATAAATTTCACCACAAAAGTTTGTGGAGTGGCTAGAAATACACGAGACAATAAAGGCAATGTGTTATTCATAAAGCTGGATAACGAATACATTATTCTCTTTACTTTTTATGTATTTGGATTTTTCCATTTTTTTTTAAATTTTATTTATTTGTGGGGGGGGCAGCTCAGCCCACCAGGGGGGCGAGGCTGACTGGCATGTGGTGCTGGGGGATTGAACCGTGGTCCCTGTGCTTTGCTAAGCTTGTTCTAAGTAGGTGCTTTAGACCACTGAGCCATCTCACCAGCCCCTTTTCCATATATTTTAATTTATGCTATGCATTGCGTTTTGGCTTACTTATACCTATGATTGCAGCCACTCAAGAGGCTGAGGAAGGATCAGGAACAGCGTGGTCATTTAGGGAGACCTCTTAGAGTTTGTTTTTTGTTTGTTTTTGTGTTTTGTTTTGCTTTGAGGCAAGGTCTTACTGTGAGGTCATGCTTGCCATGATCCTCCCAGATCTTTCTGCCTCAGCCTCTGGAGTGCTGGGATCACAGGCATGCACCTCCACACATGGGCTACCACCACACCCATGTACCACTCAAAATTTAAAGTGGGAG